GTTCTTAGTGGTCCAGTCTCTTGTTAGTGGTCCAGTCTCTTCTTAGTGGTCCAGTCTCTTCATAGTGGTCCAGTCTCTTTGTGGTCCAGTCTCTTTGTGGTCCAGTCTCTTCATAGTGGTCCAGTCTCTTCTTTGTGGTCCAGTCTGTTCTTAGTGGTCCAGTCTCTTCTTAGTGGTTCAGTCTCTTTGCGGTCCAGTCTCTTCTTAGTGGGTCAGTCTGTTCTTAGTGGTTCAGTCTGTTCTTAGTGGTCCAGTCTGTTCTTAGTGGTCCAGTCTGTTCTTAGTGGTCCAGTCTCTTAGTGGTCCAGTCTCTTTGTGGTCCAGTCTCTTAGTGGTCCAGTCTCTTTGTGGCCCAGTCTCTTAGTGGTCCAGTCTCTTAGTGGTCTAGTCTCTTCTTAGTGGTCCAGTCTCTTCTTAGTGGTCTAGTCTCTTCTTAGTGGTCCAGTCTCTTCTTAGTGGTCCAGTCTCTTCTTAGTGGTCCAGTCTCTTCTTAGTGGTCCAGTCTCTTCTTAGTGGTCTAGTCTCTTCTTAGTGGTCCAGTCTCTTCTTAGTGGTCCAGTCTCTTCTTAGTGGTCTAGTCTCTTCTTAGTGGTCCAGTCTCTTCTTAGTGGTCTAGTCTCTTCTTAGTGGTCCAGTCTCTTCTTAGTGGTCCAGTCTCTTCTTAGTGGTCCAGTCTCTTCTTAGTGGTCCAGTCTCTTCTTAGTGGTCTAGACCCTTCTCATTTTTGCTTTTCTTGTATCTTGCTTTTCATATTTTTTTGTAATTTATCACCTGGGCTGTACCGGGAAGAACGAATTAAAGTGAGGGTCTGCACTGTACCGGGGCGGGAAAGTGGCCTGTACCGGGACAGTGTCGGGGCTAAGGAGCTGCAGCCTCTCCCTCTGAGGCTACATTCCGTAAAACTTAGTTGTTATAAGGCAAGAACATAAGAAAACCGGTTTTCTCCCAGATGAACTTGAGAAAATTTACAACGGTTAAAGACTTTCCAATCTTCGTTTTAAACTTTCTCGACCCTGAAGACAGCATTAACTGGCTGTTCTCTTTAAGTCTGTGGATGATACAAGGAACAACTTGAAGAGGCTCTTACAGCCGGATCACACACCTTTAAGCATTGTTACCTATGGCAAGAGGTGCTGTAGGGCCGCCTAGCGAACCTTTGGATGTGAGTGTACACAGTTACTTCGGGAATGAGCAAAGGTAAACTGGAAGTGGTTTCCGAACTCGTTGATAAGGCAGTCTGGTCCTGTTAAAGACCCCCCTTGATGCTAGCTAGTATACCAGGCCCGGTATACTAAGACCACAGTATACTCCTTGATCAAAGTCTTCCTGACTGTAAGATTACGTCCTTGATGTAGACTCAAGTGGCGACTCCTGGTGGAGTTTACATCAATTGGGTTCCTCGATCAGTTATCCATATTACATAATCTGAAAACTGGCGAAGTTGTCGCGCGGAATTCACAGCTCCGACAGGAGAGGAAATTGAGTTTCGGTCTTCAGGCCGACGTTCTTCTGTTGAGGTCTCGTCTTGGCTCACCTCGACCCGCGCCCCGAATAATTCCTTGAGTCTTAAATCATTCTGTTTCTCCACAGTCTTCCTGTGGGTTTTCAAATCTTCCAGTTCCTTTCACTAGTTTCCTCCCTACCGTGTCGCTGTGAACCCACAGGCCGCAGCGACAGTCTACATCCACCAGTTTACTGCGGTAAACTTATCCTACATCACAACTGCTACTTATAACATATACATCACCACAAAGTTAATAATAATGTTAATCTAACCGGTACTTGTGACACACCCACACACACACACGCCCACACACACACACGCACACACACACACACGCCCACACACACACGCCCACACACACACACACGCCCACACACACACACGCCCACACACACACACGCCCACACACACACACACCCACACACACACACACGCCCACACACACACACGCACACACACACACACGCCCACACATACACGCACACACACACAAGAGCGTAGCTCTCATCCTGTAACTACACATAGGTAATTACACCTACACACATACACGCCCACACACACACATACTAACAGTCACTGACCAACGCTCCAAATATACACCACTCAAACAAGTAGTTCACATACACCCAAAACAATACCTTAAAAATGAGGTGATTTGATGCCATAACTATGCCCAAGCTCACCACCGAGTGCCGTCGGAACGGTGGGGAAAATAGCCGCAGCTACCATCGTCTTTTGTACGGTCACGGTTGGTCAAGTGGTTAAGGTACCAGTTAAGCCAGTTGTATAGTACCCCCTGGCTGCTTGGGTTCGAGTCACTTCTGGGGTGTGGAGTTTTCAGTTGCATATATGCTTAGGGAACATTCAAGCTTGTTTGCATATTATATATATATATATATATATATATATATATATATATATATATATATATATATATATATATATATATATTGTGACGGTAACGCGTTGGTGTTCGGCTGTTCAAAAGCTAGGGGTATGGCCTCGTCACATATAGAAACAAAAAATAGAAAATCTGGAACTTCGTCTGTGGTAAGGTAATGAGAAGACACACAAAACACAAGCAAATTTAACAATGAAATTTTAATTACGTTAGAAAAGCAAAACATGAATAAAATGGACAAACAAATTCGTATAATAAAATCAATCAATCAAAATAATAAGAATAATCAAATGACAAAATGAAAAGTTACGTTAAGACAAGTGAGTAACAACAAGTGAGCAATATACAATCAAATAAGAGAGGTGCAGGAATATTGGCTTTAAGCTATCACCTCTCTTAGTACACGTAAGCCACAGCTTAGTCTACCAACGAGACGTGTTAACCTGATGAAAGCACTGGATATTCTGAGGACTGAGGTCGTGGTGGCCCCAGACATCAAGTAGTGTGGTGGGTGGAGTGCAGTTGCAACTGGACCCGCAGCCAATCAGCGATGAGCAGGCGACAAGACAGGTAGTTTGGTGGTTCGAGGTGGAGCAGGTGTTCCTGGCTGCATACGTTTTGCGCTTCTGGCAAAACTTGGTGTTGTTGTCGTTGTTGGATATTTCTTCCATATTAGTTTTATATAGATGTATATATCGACGTATTTTGGAGGGAAGAGCAGGCTCAATCTCTTGAAGGAGATTATCGTCACAATATATATATATATATATATATATATATATATATATATATATATATATATATATATATATATATATATATATATATATTAAATATGACCGAAAAAGTAAGATCCCTCTAATAATTCTAACACGAATTTTCTCAATCTTTCGTACATTTCTTTTCACTGCTGGTGGTAATTCAAAAATCAATTCTCCAAAATTCATTTTATTTCATTTTCATTTTTTCATTTTCATTATTTCACTTATTTGTATAATTTGCACGATTTTTGGAGAATTGATTTTTGAATTACCACCAGCAGTGAAAAGAAATGTACGAAAGATTGAGAAAATTCGTGTTAGAATTATTAATCTTACTTTTTCGGTCATATTTAATAATATATGTATACAGGAAAGACTGCTACCAATATATATATATATATATATATATATATATATATATATATATATATATATATATATATATATATATATATATATATATATATATATATATATATATATATGCAAACAAGGGCCCTGACCAGTACCAGGATGTACCTGTGGGGCTCCTAACCTGCATCAGGTAGTTAAGGGGGTGGGGGTGGGGGGAGGGGGGGGGGGTGCTAGGGGTACGTCAGTAGTGGGAGGAAAGGTCACGCCTACACCTTAGTTCTTGCCGCTCCACTCAAATTACCGCACTCTCAGTTTAACTCCCACGCCTCTGCGTTAGTTCCCACGCCTCCATGTTAGTTCCCACGCCTCTGTGTTAGTTCCCACGCCTCTGTGTTAGTTCCCACGCCTCTGTGTTAGTTCCCACGCCTCTGTGTTAGTTCCCACGCCTTAGTTCCACGTCTGCGTTAGTTCACAGTTCCCACGCCTCTGTGTTAGTTCCCACGGTGGTTCCCACGAGAGCCTCTGTGTTAGAGCCTCTGTGTTAGAGCCTCTGCGTTACAAGGCCTCTGTGTGTGTGTGGGAGTTCCCACGAGAGAGAGAGACAGAGAGAGAGAGAGAGCACAAGGGTGTGTGTGTGGGAGAGAGAGAGAGAGAGAGAGCACAAGGGTGTGTGTGTGGGAGAGAGAGAGAGAGAGAGAGAGAGCACAAGGGTGTGTGTGTGGGAGAGAGAGAGAGAGAGAGACAAGAGTGTGTGTGAGAGAGAGAGAGCACAAGGGTGTGTGTGAGAGAGAGAGAGAGAGAAGAGAGTGTGAGAGAGAGAGAGAGAAGGGTGTGTGTGAGAGAGAGAGAGCACAAGGGTGTGTGAGAGAGAGAGAGCACAAGGGTGTGTGTGAGAGAGAGAGAGCACAAGGGTGTGGGAGAGAGAGAGAGCACAAGGGTGTGTGTGAGAGAGAGAGAGCACAAGGGTGTGTGTGAGAGAGAGAGAGCACAAGGGTGTGTGTGAGAGAGAGAGAGCACAAGGGTGTGGGAGAGAGAGAGAGAGAGAGAGAGAGAGAGAGAGAGAGAGAGAGAGAGAGCACAAGGGTGTGTGTGTGGGAGAGAGAGAGAGAGAGAGAGAGAGAGAGAGAGAGAGAGCACAAGGGTGTGTGTGAGAGAGAGAGCACAAGGGAGAGAGAGAGAGAGAGAGCACAAGGGTGTGTGTGAGAGAGAGAGAGCACAAGGGTGTGTGTGAGAGAGAGAGAGCACAAGGGTGTGTGAGAGAGAGAGAACACAAGGGTGTGTGAGAGAGGTAAAGAAATCTTGCGAGTTTGGCGGGAAGGTGCAGGCAAACGTTGTGGTGTGTGGAGGAAAGTGAAAGTGAATGGGTGAGGTGGAAGGGACGGAGGAGGGATAGGGGGGGTGGAGAGAGAGAGTAGGGAGGGTAGGTGAGGAGTGTGTGTGTGTGTGTGAGAGAGAGGCGACTGCGCAGAAAGAGGAGTGAGGGAGTGAGACACAGAGGTGCCACAGCGTGTAAGCAGAGCTCACCAGACTAACACAGTGCTCCGCGTCCTGTGCTGGTGTCCACTAGTTACTCCGTTCGAATCCCTTCCTTCACTCACCCCCACCCCACCACCCCCAAACCCCCTTCTCTCTCCCTACTCCCACACCAGTTGTGGTAAGCCCAAACGCTACGACGGTATGGTGCGTCGCGTATGGAGTCAAATATGATCTATAGTGTGGGCTGATAACCCAAGATATCACCGTCGGAGGGGAACACATTGATCTCAGTGATCCATTCGCCTGTTGCTGGCGGCTATCGGGGCCAACTGTCTGGCCTCCCACTCTCAACAAGTTGATGCTCCACCGATTTATAAAACAGTGCGAGTGAAAATTTATAGATATATATATATATCTCTAAAGTATCTGTTCTCTGCTCTTGAACATACAGGCAAGAGCAATTTAGTTATGTGAGACAGAAACCGTCTGAAAGAGAAGTTATTTCAAGAGCCATTTATGAAAATTGTGAAAAATATATTTTTTTTTCAGCACTAGTGAGGGCAGTGCCTTCACTAGTGCCACGGCTGGCACTGTCACAGGTAAGATGTTGGTGTGTGTCACATGACAGTTTCATAACTTGTGTCAGAGGTTTGTCTTTAATTAGTTGCATTAGTTTTTTAGTGGCATACATACCTATCCTGTGGGTGGTGGTGGACCCCATACCTATCCTGTGGGTGGTGGTGGACCCCATACCTATCCTGTGGGTGGTGGTGGACCCCATACCTATCCTGTGGGTGGTGGTGGACCCCATACCTATCCTGTGGGTGGTGGTGGACCCCATACCTATCCTGTGGGTGGTGGTGGACCCCATACCTATCCTGTGGGTGGTAGTGGACCCCATACCTATCCTGTGGGTGGTGGTGGACCCCATACCTATCCTGTGGGTGGTGGTGGACCCCATACCTATCCTGTGGGTGGTGGTGGACCCCATACCTATCCTGTGGGTGGTAGTGGACCCCATACCTATCCTGTGGGTGGTAGTGGACCCCATACCTATCCTGTGGGTGGTGGTGGACCCCATACCTATCCTGTGGGTGGTAGTGGACCCCATACCTATCCTGTGGGTGGTAGTGGACCCCATACCTATCCTGTGGGTGGTAGTGGACCCCATACCTATCCTGTGGGCAGTAGTGGACCCCATACCTATCCTGTGGGTGGTAGTGGACCCCATACCTATCCTGTGGGTGGTGGTGGACCCCATACCTATCCTGTGGGTGGTAGTGGACCCCATACCTATCCTGTGGGCAGTGGTGGACCCCATACCTATCCTGTGGGTAGTGGGCAGTGACCCCATACCCATCCTGTGGGTGGTAGTGGACCCCCATATACCTATCCTGTGGGCAGTGGTGGACCCCATACCCATCCTGTGGGTGGTGGACCCCCATACCCATCCTGTGGGTGGTAGTGGACCCCATACCTATCCTGTGGGTGGTAGTGGACCCCATACCCATCCTGTGGGTGTGGTGGACCCTATACCCATACCCATCCTGTGGGCAGTGGTGGACCCCATACCTATCCTGTGGGTGGTGGTGGACCCCATACCTATCCTGTGGGCAGTGGTGGACCCCATACCTATCCTGTGGGTAGTGGCGGACCCCCATACCCATCCTGTGGGCAGTGGTGGACCCCATACCTATCCCCACCCTGTGGGCACCCATCCTGTGGCTAGTGGTGGACCCCATACCTATCCTGTGGGTGGTGGACCCCATACCCATCCTGTGGCGGACCCCATACCCATCCTGTGGGCAGTGGTGGACCCTATACCTATCCTGTGGGCAGTGGGGACCCCCATACCCATCCTGTGGACAGTGGCGGACCCCATACCCATCCTGTGGGCAGTGGTGGACCCCATACCCATCCTGTGGGCAGTGGTGGACCCCATACCTATCCTGTGGGCAGTGGTGGACCCCATACCCATCCTGTGGGCAGTGGTGGACCCCACACCTATCCTGTGGCTAGTGGTAGACCCCATACCTATCTTGTGGGCAGTGGCGAACCCCATACCCATCCTGTGGGCAGTGGGGACCCCCAATACCCATCCTGTCAGCAGTGGTGGACCCCATACCTATCTTGTGGGTAGTGGGGGACCCCATACCCATCCTGTGGCACTGGTGGACCCCATACCTATCCTGTGAGCAGTGGTGGACCCCATACCTATCTTGTGGGTAGTGGTGGACCCCATACCTATCCTGTGGGCAGTGGTGGACCCCATACCCATCCTGTGGGCAGTGGTGAACCCCATACCTATCCTATGGGCAGTGGCGGACCTCCATACCCATCCTGTGGGCAGTGGCGAACCCCATACCCATCCTATGTGCAGTGGCGAACCCCATACCCATCCCGTGGGCAGTGGTGGACCCCTCTATAACCATTTAAGATCCTTGCATGTGGGGGTGTGTATTGAACTTGTTGCAAACTGAAAGTTACAGAAGAACTCTTTAAGATCCTCTATTAAAAGGTATTTAAATGTGTATTGAACTTGTTGCAAAGTTCAACTAAGTTCCCCACAAGAGGAACAGGAATGAGAAGCTTGCAAGAGGGCAACCTTGCAGCTCACACGTGCAACAGGAAGTCTTGCAAATGCATGACACGATTTTGGGTAATGTGGTGATAAATGATGATTTATCTGATGATGATTGATGATCAATGATGATGATAAATGATTGATGATAGATGAAAAATTGATGATTGATGATAAAACTGTCTTTGAATTCATGTGAACACAGGCTGTCACAGGCTGGTGTCAGGTGATTCATCACTGTCACAGGCTGGTGTCAGGTGATTCATCACTATCACAGACTGGTGTCAGGTGACTCATCACTGTCACAGGCTGGTGTCAGGTGATTCGTCACTGTCACAGGCTGGTGTCAGGTGACTCATCACTGTCACTGACTGGTGTCAGGTGACTCATCACTGTCACAGACTGGTGTCAGGTGACTCATCACTGTCACAGACTGGTGTCAGGTGACTCATCACTGTCACAGACTGGTGTCAGGTGACTCATCACTGTCACAGACTGGTGTCAGGTGACTCATCACTGTCACAGGCTGGTGTCAGGTGACTCATCACTGTCACAGACTGGTGTCAGGTGAAACTCATCACTGTCACAGGCTGGTGTCAGGTGACTCATCAATGTCACAGACTGGTGTCAGGTGACTCATCACTGTCACAGACTGGTGTCAGGTGACTCATCACTGTCACAGGCTGGTGTCAGGTGACTCATCACTGTCACAGACTGGTGTCAGGTGACTCATCACTGTCACAGGCTGGTGTCAGGTGACTCATCACTGTCACAGGCTGGTGTCAGGTGACTCATCACTGTCACAGACTGGTGTCAGGTGACTCATCACTGTCACAGGCTGGTGTCAGGTGACTCATCACTGTCACAGGCTGGTGTCAGGTGATTCATCACTGTCACAGGCTGGTGTCAGGTGATTCATCACTGTCACAGGCTGGTGTCAAGTGATTCATCACTGTCACAGGCTGGTGTCAAGTGATTCATCACTGTCACAGGCTGGTGTCAGGTGAAACTCATCACTGTCACAGGCTGGTGTCAAGTGATTCATCACTGTCACAGGCTGGTGTCAAGTGATTCATCACTGTCACAGGCTGGTGTCAGGTGAAACTCATCACTGTCACAGGCTGGTGTCAGGTGATTCATCACTGTCACAGGCTGGTGTCAAGTGATTCATCTCTGTCACAGGCTGGTGTCAGGTGAAACTCATCACTGTCACAGGCTGGTGTTAGGTGACTCATCACTGTCACAGGCTGGTGTCAAGTGATTCATCACTGTCACAGGCTGGTGTCAAGTGATTCATCACTGTCACAGGCTGGTGTCAGGTGAAACTCATCAATGTATAAACTCCTTCTATATGCTGGTTGATGAGTCCGGGCTGGTTGATGAGTCCGGGCTGGTTGATGAGGCCGGGCTGGTTGATGAGGCCGGGCTGGTTGATGAGTCCGGGCTGGTTGATGAGGCCGGGCTGGTTGATGAGGCCGGGCTGGTTGATGAGGCCGGGCTGGTTGATGAGGCCGGGCTGGTTGATGAGTTCGGGCTGGTTGATGAGTCCGGGCTGGTTGATGAGTCCGGGCTGGTTGATGAGGCCGGGCTGGTTGATGAGGCCGGGCTGGTTGATGAGGCCGGGCTGGTTGATGAGTCCGGGCTGGTTGATGAGTCCGGGCTGGTTGATGAGGCCGGGCTGGTTGATGAGTCCGGGCTGGTTGATGAGGCCGGGCTGGTTGATGAGTCCGGGCTGGTTGATGAGGCCGGGCTGGTTGATGAGTCCGGGCTGGTTGATGAGTCCGGGCTGGTTGATGAGGCCGGGCTGGTTGATGTTATCTTGAGATGATTTCGGGGCTTAGCGTCCCCGCGGCCCGGTCCTCGACCAGTTCTCCTTTTTTGCAACACACACACCTAGTAAGTAGTCCGTAGCAGCTGACTAAATGCTTCCTGGGGGTGTGTAACAAAAAGGAGGCCTGGTCGAGGACCGGGCCGCGGGGACGCTAAGCCCCGAAATCACCTCAAGATAACCTCAAGATAAGCTGGTGTCCAGGGCCAGCACTGTGGAGGGCGGAGGCAGGTGGCGCCACTTTGGAGCTCCGGACAAGAAATATGAGGACAGAAGTCATATCATGAGAGTCAAATGGCCAAGTTTACCAATAATATAGTGGTGAGGCCAAGTGAGGCAGGCCAAGTGAGGCAGGCCAAGTGAGGCAGGCCAAGTGAGGCAGGCCAAGTGAGGCAGGCCAAGTGAGGCTGTGAGGACGGGTCATGAGGGGTCAGACCTCCTTATTCCCACCTCATGATCCGGGACAAGGAGCCGGCGTGTGGTCAATATACCCTTCACGCCTCACGTAAACATGAGAGAGTCAACACAGCTCCCGGATGATCAACAATTACGAAATAGTGAACACAAATTTGCTCAGATTTCTTGTTCGTCCTTAAGGGCCGTTAGTGGGGGCCCCTGGTGGTCCTGTAATGAGGGCCCTGTGTCGGGACCATTAGTGGGGGCCCCTGGTGGTCCTGTTATGAATGCTCTGTGTCGGGACCATTAGTGGGGGCCCCTGGTGGTCCTGTTATGAGGGCCCTGTGTCGGGACCATTAGTGAGTGCCCCTGGTGGTTCTGTTATGAGGGCCCTGTGTCGGGACCATTAGTGAGGGCCCCTGGTGGTTCTGTTATGAGGGCCCTGTGTCGGGACCATTAGTGAGGGCCCCTGGTGGTTCTGTTATGAGGGCCCTGTGTCGGGACCATTAGTGAGGGCCCCTGGTGGTTCTGTTATGAGGGCCCTGTGTCGGGACCATTAGTGGGGGCCCCTGGTGGTCCTGTAATGATGGCTCTGTGTCGGGACCATTAGTGGGGGCCCCTGGTGGTCCTGTAATGATGGCTCTGTGTCGGGACCATTAGTGGGGGCCCCTGGTGGTCCTGTAATGATGGCTCTGTGTCGGGGCCATTAGTGGGGGCCCCTGGTGGTCCTGTTATGAGGGCCCTGTGTCCGGACCATTAGTGAGGGCCCCTGGTGGTTCTGTTATGAGGGCCCT